TTGGATATGCAAACACAATATTTTCAAACCCTATCGATCCAGAAAAATTCTCCTGTGAATTCAAAAAAGAGTAAGATTTCAAGCTTTTGTCTGGAAGCCTCACAATTTTGTTGCCTTCCGTTGACCAATTGTCAATTATAGGTTTACGTTTGAAAAGTTGATTCAGTCTTTTGGCTGATGCACTTGATCGAGCAAATTCGGCTGAACTATTTCGACAGAAGAAAATTCATAATCGACTATCGTGTATACATATAGTCACATGTCAAATATGGTGTTAAACAGCATTCTGCATTGTTATAAAGATGCTAGAAGGTGTCATGCAGCGGTTTCATATAGTTTAAAGAAAGCTATCGACTACGAGAAAATGTGTTACACATTGGGATGCCCGTATGTTGTTGAAATAATAAAAGCTCTCAGCAATTCCAATGATGAAGTTTTCAAAGCCAACAACTAGTATATTGAGAGGACCAAAAGAAATGTTCATCTAGGGTCATCATTGTATCAATTTATAATAGAAGAATCATACTGAAAGCTAACAGATATGATGACTTTTCGGAGACCAATAAAACATTTTACTTGAATGTGCAATCGATCTGATTTTTATAAAACTCCTTATAAAATAATCGTGTGTAAGTTTGTGTCTGACAATTTTCGGCTTCCCTTTAAAGACGCTAATCATGTTTGTTAACTAGTAAAAAGTATAACAAAAACTCAAGATTACTAGAAAGCTTTTCTTCTAGCACATTTCATACTCTACTTGTATTTTTCACGCTCCACTGACGCTTTCTCTATCGGCAAAGTGAATTCTATCGAATTCTATTGCTCTTCTATTAATCTTTATACCATGCAAGCGACTAGATTGATTTGACAAAAAAAAAGAAACTTTTTGAGAAACCTGGCGGGATTTCTCAATTTAAGGTATTTGGATCCTGTCTATGTTCAGTGTTTTCAACTCACTGAGAAATAGGTAAGTGAAAGATTCAATGTGAGCTTTCAGTTTCAATTCTCAGAGTGGAAAGAAGAAAAGAATAAAGATAGACCTGTTTTTAGAAGATTCTGAACCATTGTAGCACATCATGAGATCTAATGATCGAGGTTGCATCTCGACTTAATACCATGATAGAAAGTGGGAGTGATGACTAGCAAAATGTCAACATGCCTGCTGAGATAGTCAAGAAACACTAATAGTAAGTATCGTTCAACAAAATTAATCGAACAACAGTGCAAAACAGCAAGAATCGTTGTTTTAAATTTAAAAGAATTACTTGAAAAGAAGATAGCATGCTTCGATGTTGAGCAACAAGGACATGAATTTGAGCATATAATCAAAACAAAAGACAGCTTTAAAAAACTGAACTGGATATGATAAGAATTGTCACACTCATGTACAATAATATGTCACAAAACTCGACTAATAAGGATAGATCTCTCAATGTAAAAAAATTATATGAGAATCACAAAGAAATCGATTTTTAATCAATTCAAAGCGTACATCTTTAACCGATTATAATAAAATAATAATCAAAGATATCGAAATCGCACTGATTCTTCTGATAAAGTTTTGTAATTGAAACGGATTTAGAATTGTGTAAAAGAATACATTTTTAATCAATTTCGTATGATTATAAATGATTTCATTACGATTATGAAACAGCTTTTAATCAAAAATAATCAGAATAATCAATGTGATTTCCATATTTTTGATTATAATCGATATAGAATCCATTCTTCGAATCACTACTTTTTACATGGCTGAAATTCAAATGGTTTATTGACAACTCAATGTTTTTTTTTCTATTTATATGCTACACGTAAACTAAACTGATTGGCAAGATTATTCGAACTTACCTAAGCAGCTACTTTATTTAGCATTAAACAGAAACATGTAAAAAATTATGAATGAAAATGAGTGATAGAAATTTTTGTGCTTTTAACATTTTTCATTCAATTCAGGTACGGATAAATTCATGGATTATTAAATCAGTACAAGTAATACACGATTCGAAATTTCTATAAGATACGAAATGAATTGAATTAGTCAAACAATGGTCACTTTAATATTCTATTTCAACTGTGCAAGTTGATAGTATTATCGTAATCAATGAATTACAAACTACTGAACTAAAGGAAGATAACATCAACGAAATGTTCTGTTGAAATTACAACTTCAAGAAGATATTTAAATTTATATACATGAAAAATGAAATTTGTAGGAAGTCATCGCTCTGTAAACTTATCAGTAGAACCTGTGAAAATCATAAGAAGTTTGAATCATTTGATTTTATTCATTATATTAAGAATATAGATTGTTTATAGTATTAGCAATGAGTTATTCTTATGCAGCATGGTGAGTAGCATCTATACATGAACTAATTTAGTACATACACAACTGTGGATATTTGTATCACATCCAGTGATAATGGTATAAAAGCGAATAACCTGTAATATATGGAAAGAAATGAGTTATATTTGTGAAAGACGTCGAACAGTATGTCAAAGATTTGTATTTTTTGTGGAAAAACTAAACAATAAAAAGTTAAGCGATTTCTCATCAGAAAATATTGGTTAACATGTGTTAGTGTTTTTCAAAATATGGTGAATTCTTGATTAGTTTCAAAAATATATCAAATGAGTAGATGAATGTTAACATTTGTTTCCTTTTTTATTTTCAACACGATGATAAGTTGAAAGTAAATTTTTTTTTTGTAATTGAATAAGTATCATATAACTTACAAGATAATACGCTGCGAATCAATAAGATTTTGGTCAAGAAGTACAACAGCCAGTGCACAGAGAGAAGGCAAAATGAATGAAATAACAGGAAATGACAATGCAAATGCCACACCAGTTTTGAGTACACTTGGCATTACTAATCTGGAAAAGAATTTGAATACAACGAATATGAAACAATGTCTTGTATAGAAAGTATTTCAGAAAACTTTCAAAAGTGAGATATTCATAGTGACGATCAATGAACATTTCTTGATTGACATATGAATGCACAATTTTTTGGTGTCATTTTAATCAAATATCTGTTAGGGATCATTATTGTATGGAAATTCAAAAATATTGTCTCTTAAAACCTTCAGAATGATAGGTTTTTATCATCAGGTTTTCTTACATGCTCTCGTCAACTCAAATAAATACGCAATATTTCATAACTTCTTTATCTTTCAGTCTTTAAAAAAATAATTTGAATGTTTGTTTTAAATATTGTTCTTTTTTAATTGGCCATTCGAATATTTTCACCAGAGAAAGCTTCATTCTTTGATAGATTATTTCTAATAGTTCATTGAGAATTGAATTTTTTCAAATCTCTTACCTGTATCTTCGTTCAATGATTTGTTCGAATGATGTCAATGTTTCACGCTGTCTATTAAGTTGAAATACAGTACGAATATTGCGCACACTCTGCGTTACTAAATCACTGTACTGTGATACCAATTTCTGAATTAGAATTGCCAGTCGAATGTTTCGTCGAATGTTGAGAATAACATTGATAAATACAATAGCAAGTAAACCATAAACGACCAATGTTAGTTGCCATAAAAAAATTGCTCCAAGTATAAGAGCAATTATCAAGAGTGAAATTGATTGAATGATTAGACCAAGTCGAACTCCAGTCAGCTAGAAAATTTCTTCTTTCAAAAATCAAAATTATTTACTATTGAAAAATCAATTCAAGAAATACATGTTGCTTTTTGTGAAACACGCTTGGAAAGGGGTGTTGAAGTACAAAGCATGCAAATTGCTCTTCTTCTCTTTCCTTAATACCATCATCACAATTGCAAGTATCTAAATGCTCTTTTGACCCACTCATAGACTATGGCAGATTTTTCGACATGTCTGTCAAAGCCTGTGATACTAGATAAGATTTTCAACGTCGTGATTTTAGACCAACTATTAAATTCGATAAACATGGCAAGGGTCTCTCTCTAATGTTTAGAATGTATCCGTCTTGTTTGTTATTTCAATCTTACATGGCTTGTGCTAAAAGCTTCTTTCAGATATGTTGAATTCGAGAAACATGAAAACCGAAATGAGTGTTTAGCATTTGCTGACTATAACCTTGTTCCCTTGTTTTAAGTCTTTCACGTAATGAAAGATAGGTCATACTTGTCGAAAATTGTTCATTAGAGTGATATATTACGAATCTAGGCCACTTGCCCGCAGAACATATGCTCGTCGGACAGATCCCCGCAAGACACTTGCCGGTATGATGCTTGCCCGCACCCTCACCCTCAACATTGTCCATTGCGGGCACGTATCGCACGGGCAAGTGTCTTGCGGGCATCTGTCCGGCGGGCAACTGTCTAGCAGGCAAGTGGCCATAACCCGTTTTTTCACATGATTATTTGAACTTTTATTAAATGACTTGATTACTGAATTTCTAGCTTAACATTGCGTAAGATGAAGCTTCAAGGCCAACTAACAGGATAGAAGATTGGAATAGACAAAATATGTTTTTCATGGAGAGTAACATCTGGGAAGGACTAAGATCGTAATGGTAGCGATATGAAGCACCGATGCAGACGACATAAAATGTATTGAAGATGAAAAACTATAGCAATGTTAAACTGAGCAGAAGTTCTAAAGCACATGTACAAGCGTCAACACAATACTGGTAAATGTATCAAATCCTTGCGGTTGAAACCATTGGGTCAAGATTAATAGTTCGAGGCACTTCACAATTTATGTCACTTCATAGAAATTCGCCTACTCCAGTTGATATGCTGAACAGAATATTGCTGAAGTATTTAAACGCATTCTTTATGTGATTCTGACTGATTAACAACAATTATCGTATTAAAACTCACTGAGACTGTTAATATTAGTTTGCCAAACTCTCATATTCACTCAGTTGAAATAAAGTGGCTTTTCTTACTCCGTTCTTTCATAGAAAAAATAATCAAACAGAGTTTGAAAGAATATATAATGCATAGTCATATGAGCATAAGTTTCGATGAAAATTTTTTAAAAATAACAATAGAAATTCCAGATCATATTCGCATACGTACTTTCTGAATTTCAAGAGCATCTGTGGAAAGACGTGAGCACAACGCACCAACATTATTTTCAACTTCATCAAACCATCCGACTTCTTGTCGCAATATACATCCAAATGCTTTGATACGTAATCTATTGGTTAAACGTGCACCAGCTACCGACAGGCAACCTTGCTATATAAATAATATAGAGAAAAAAGAAGAAATTTTTTTAGCAGAGCATCTATGTATTATTTTGCTTTTGAAATCGATTTTTGCTTATGTTATGAGTAGATCGTTCAAATTTTACTTCAAGATATAGGTGTTGAATGAATGACCTTGTTTTCTCAACGATAATTAAACGTATTGAAGTGTAGTTTTGTCAGAACCAAGCTGACTTAAATCAGATTACTTATGCGAAATAATAGTCGATATATATATCTTCCCAAAGTGACAGTGTGTACATCCTCCCAATAATGAAAAAGTATCTACTAATATCTACCAAAAATGGGTACGACATTTTAAAAATTTCGTTCTGTCTTTATATAGCTTTCTGTATCCTTTTTCACCTCTCGTACTTCAATCTTCCGGTGTCAAGACATATGGAGCCTCCACAACATATATTTGCTGAACTAAACAAATAATCAAAAAGATGATTTACTTTTGATTTTTCGTAGCTGTCTGTAAATATAAAACATATGAATCTCTTTTACATTATTTCGAGTTTACGAATTTACTACTTTTTACAGACTGAGTAAGGATGTGACAAAACCGTGGCTATTATGGCTAAGAATGACTGACACTGCCAGGAAATCCTAAGCAGCACAAATATCGCTAAGTAAGAAGTTCTAGAGCAATGAGAAGAATGTGCTACACGAACATCGATTGTCATGTACCTCTGCCACTCTAGAAGAGTCAAAACTGTGGGGAAAAGTCAAGTCAATCTTGATCTAGTAGGTAAAGATGGACAAGAACATTTCGTCGAACACAATATTTGTCTGAGTTTGCTGATAAGATAGAAAATTTCAAAAATACGTTCTAATAATCATATAGTGGCATTGATCTTTTCTCACATATCTGCACATGGTTTACAAATATCAGAAAAATTGATCATAGATTAGTAGATATTACGTTAGGTAATAACATTCGAGAAATGATGGATACAAGAACTCGTATGGAATTAAAAATTTGTAAGCAACTCTCTTTTTTCTCATTGAAACTTCAAATGGAACTTAGCAGAATACAAACGCTTGTTCTTGAAGACTAATTAGATGATTTTTCATGCATACACATTATGAAATCTTACCGCAATAACAGTAAATATAACAACAGCAATGCCTAAAGCGAGCATGATAGATGTGAAAATGTATAATTTATGCATTTGTGCAGAAACAGTGCATTCATTAAATGCCTATAAACAAAACATTTATTATAAATATTACAGAGATCAGAAAATTGTTTTCTTTATTTATTACTCACACCAATAGCTTGAACCAGAGAGATCGAAAATGTCGGACTAGCTGCACATGAGGCTATTGTAAACAAGCTAGCAATAAGTAAGTAGGGCCACTCAGGAGCATTGAGCTTCAGTAGATTGGCCAATGAACGAAGTGAACCAGGTGATGACTTCAATAGAATTGATTTATTACCTAGGATGAAGTAAGACGAAAGCAAATATTTACCTCATCGATCATAGGTTCAGTTTCTTCTTTATCAAATAATATTTCATTTTCATCGTTTTCTTCTGTTCGAATGCCTAAAACAACGGATTTATATTTATTAAAAATTTGTTTCCAGTGCGTCAATTGTAAATGATTGCTAGTTCATTATTCTTAACTACTGATATCAACAAATAGGGATCGTCAGAAAACTTTAAATAGAGACATAAACAAAAAAGTATCTTACAAAAGAATTTCTCGAGGTTACGTATTTCTATTTAACTCATATTTTGGTGACAGTGAGGAGGCCTCGAGGGCTGAATTACGGTCATTAGAAATTATTTTTACATAAAGCAGTTTTTAATTGAACGGACAGAGATATACGAAAAGAAGCTTTGGCTCACTTTATTGTTTCCAAGAAGAAAATTTGAATACTATTCAGTTTTGTAGAGCGTAAGTTAGGAAATCAAATCTGGTTTGTGTGAGTGAGGGTGGATCCTTGCATCACTCACGCCTGCGCCAATACCTACACCTTTTCTATGGCCTTAAGAGGTGACGTTTGGTGTGTTGCTACAGATAGTAAAAAAAACAGTAGCATAATCTTAATTTACTATTTAACTCTTGATCACGGATGGTTTCACTTGAGAAATCTTCGGATTCTTGCATATTGACTACTTCTGATGATTGAACATTGAGATTTTCGCCCTGATAATTTTTGAAGAGATCACAGTAGATATGATTTGCAGCCATAAGATCATCATGTGAACCTTGTTCTATAACTGCACCATCTTTCATGACTACTATCCAATCAGCATTACGTATAGTTGAAAGTCGATGAGCTATAACGATGGTCGTACGACCTGTATTACATGCATAAAAATCGTTTGTTTCTTTCTTGTAACAGACAGAACGAAGCAAATGTACAACCTTTGGAAGCTCGTTCAAGTGCTTGCTGTACAATCTTTTCACTTGAAGAATCTAGTGCACTCGTTGCTTCATCAAGAATGAGTAAATTTGGTTTACGAATAAGAGCACGTGCTAAAGCAATACGCTGCCGTTGACCACCACTTAACTTAACACCTCGTTCGCCAACTATTGTGTCATATCCCTTGAAGAAAGAAAATGAGGCAAATGTTTGTTTGCGTAAATATTTAGGTATAACTCGAGACAACTATTATTACTTGAGGTAATTTCATGATAAAATCATGAGCATGAGCTTGTTTGGATGCTTCGATAACATCGTCTTGTGTTGCATTTTTTTTACCAAAATGAATATTTTCATGAATGGAAGTTGCAAATAGTATCTACATTCAGAAATCAAAAATTTTCCAACTTTTGAACATGTAGCATTGATGAGAATATTACCGGTTCCTGACTGACAACTCCTATAGCTTGATTATAATCATAAATATCAAACTCTGCAATATTACGATCATTGATTTTGATTTGACCATTAGTTAATTCGTAGAAACGAAGCAAAAGTTGAACGCATGTACTTTTACCTTGTTTTATTATAGAAAAATATATCGTTGACTATAGATGAAGGAATCACTAGTCTTACCACTTCCTGAACTTCCTACAAGTGCCACTGTTTTACCAGCATGAATTGTAAACGATACATTATTTAATACAGATTTTTCTGCTCGACTCGGATATGAAAATGAGACATTGTCAAACGTTACTTTTATTGGATAGCCGGGTGTTAATGTCACTGCATTTTCACTTACTGATAGTTCCGTTGAAAGTTTAAATTGTCTCGTCGATTTTTTCACATGATCCTAAGAAAGAATGACATCTCAAATCAATTATCAATCATTCGTGAAAAAAAGACAATAAGAACCAATTACTTATCATAGGAAAAAAGTTAAAAAATGCATATTTCAGATAATAGTTTACTCATAAATCTTTCTATCTATTATTTCAAAATTCAAGGGCAGTTTCAGCCCTAACAAACAAACGAATCGTATGAGTAATCTGATTTTCTTGGTTCTTATTTTTTGTAGTGTAATAAAATCGTCATCATTTACTATGAAAAATTCAGTTTTTTAAGGGAAATATACAATTTGTACTGATCTCAAGATATCGATAAGAATTTTATTCGACACATTTCCCTCGTTAGTGCTTTTGAAAGATAATTATGCTAGTATATTTCTGCGAATTTCGAGCATTCGATTTAAATGAGCGTTGGTTGAATAAAAATTAAAATGCATTCCAAAATATACACAAAAGAAAATGTAATTACCTCGGCTTCGTCGATATGTTGTGCTATCGGCAAAATAAGAGCACACGCATCAGCAAAATCTTTGAAGCATGGAGCAAGAGTACCAATAAATAGCATTCCCTCAGTGATAGATGTGACAACCTACAAGAACATATTCATACCATATAGTCAAATAACTGTTAACTGATCAGTATTGTTGTGAAGTAGGATAACTTACCACAACGATTTTACCAATATTGAGTGTCGCATGCTTTCCAGCATTTATAAGCCATGCTCCTGACAGAAGACCAAGTGCAGTCGTCCAGTATGTTATCGTAAATAAAAGCCCAAGATAAAAACCATAAATCAAGGCTTTGCGAACTGCGTATTTGGTTATAGTTTTAAGCTTTGATGCATATCTATAGTATTCGAATGAAAAGAAGCATTATTTGAATGTCAAAATGGTTCAACACTAAAATTGTACGAAGGAGGGAATATGTTCAAATTATGAATCAGTTTCGAGATGATTATCCGATTTGATTAGGCTTTCAAATAGTGACGGATATTTTGAGACGGTTCGGATGGTATAGTTTGAAGATGAAACTTTGCTAGTAATCTAGGCATTAAGCAAGCTTTTAATAAATATTCAAAAGCCCTAAAAAATGCACAACTCATGAATAAAAAACCAAAAAGATGAATGAGTCAAGCATCTTTCTACTTTTAGTGGAACGTATTCAAGGGTACCTCTTTCGTTTCGGATGCAAATAATTTACTATAATAACTTACCGTGTCTGCTCACTATTTTGTGCGTTGAATGCCAGTACAGTTCGAAAAGCAGAGAATACTTCTTCGGCAACTTTTCCTGCTTGTCCATAAGATTCCATTTCTTTAATATTTGCTTTAGCCGTCAACTAGAATTGAAAATTATAAAAATCATTTTTGATAATTTTCGACCAATCAAATCTTTCATATCAGTTCAGTTTTTCTGATAATATTTTTAAGTTAGACTCTTCGAATTTTGAATAAGAGATATTTTATCTTTTTAAGTACTTTTAATTCAGATATTCGAATTGTGTCATTTTACAAGCAATAGAAGTTTTCTTTCAGTGGAATATTAGACAGTTCAACCAATAATCGATTACGCATAGCTTTAAATGCATTCTCAGACTTCATCTATTATTTCGAACTAATAGATGATTCATAAAGTTCTCTACAAAGGGTTATGATGCAATATTGGGCAATTATTTTCATTGTTATCTAAAAATTGAAATGATTCTGTTGAAAAATTATGGAAACTTTCTACAAGAAGTGTAAAAAAATACTTTTCTAAATCACATTGTAGTTCTTCGAATACCATCGATTTTCTCACCAGATAAATGAACCTCTTCAAATGATAATTCCCTTTTAGTGTAAAGTTTTTATCCAATCAAAATAAAGAACTTTAGTCAGTTTTTCTAGAATCTTTCAGTTTTTTAATAAGTTAATTGAAGTGAATTGTCTGACGAGAAGATGAATGATGCTCAAAGAACTAAAACCTTATCTGAAAAAAAAATCATTTGCACTACTTGAGAGTTTTTATGATCTCTATATTTTACAAGTATATGAAGATGCTTGCTGTTTTCATCACAATTCGCTAGAAGGTCCAGTAATATTATTTCAAGGTGTTAACCACCGCTTGTAAGCGTGGTTGGTTCACCATACCATGAGATACAAACAAAACAATGATTTTTGGCTTTGCGATTTCAAATCGATTACAAAACTTTTTAATCCCTTGAAAGCCAGGTTGTCTAAAGTTCAGAAAACTATGATTCTGCGACCAAGAAATCCAAAAATCTATAATTCAAAAGTCAATAATATCATGTCGACATGTCTGTCATGAATTATGGGACTAGATGGAAGAAACTTCTTTTGTCTCGCTTGTAACTTCAACACTTATTTTCGATCGTGTTTTATAAAACAGCTGAATGTCAATTACAGAAATTTGTATGGCTCATCTTTTTGTTTTCAAAAACATAGAACAGATTTGAGCATCTACAGAAAAAGAGAAAAACTACAAAGTAAACCATTTTACAACAATATTAATATTCACAAATATATAAACGTTCTTCTTAAAACGCAGTTTCCATTCCTTTACAAAATTTTAAGAGACAAAGTCTACTTAATCAACATCTTTCGAAAGTACAACATGAAAAAATGTTACCAGAAGTTTGTTTCATAAAGTAATCCAACTTGGTTTGCGAGCATAGCTTAAAATACTGTGTACAATTTTAAGAGGTTTTAAACTCATCAGGATACACAGCTTACTTTTGAATCGACTTACAAAAGCTCAACTTTGCAACAAACACTAATCATGTCATGACCAACAGATAAAAGGTACTTCAATTAATAGATGGAAACGAAAGAATCAATTTTGGAAAATAAGGAAGTTTCGAGTCAGGTTACGGCAGGAGAGATGCTGCTTATTTTTAAAACTCTGTGCTAACTGCGAAATTATGTTTGAAAAATAAACTTCATAGATTGTAGACAATAAAACTTTCTCTCAAAGGACATGGAAAAAAAGTCTCAACCGATTTTTACTGTTTCATCTATTATGCTTCATCCATTTCATGCAAACATCTAATACATAAGGCAGAATTTTCCGTAAAAAATGTTAGTTCTAATATTTCAACAACCGAAAAATGCAGCAAATTGAGCTAAATTCTTGAGACATATGATATCTCGAGAACGTATTAGTCAAAAAAACAAATCATAATTCTTATTCTAAGACTTTTGTATGGAATTTTTTCAACTAAAATATATCACATATGTTTTCTTGTATAATAGTGATTTGAGTAGTTACACTTGAATTGATAAGGCGAAGAAAAAGATTCCTAATGAACTTGCCTTCGATAGCAGAATGGAAGCGAGTGAACTCAGTGGTTGTGCAATAAATACGATCAATGCAAGTTTCCAATCGGTGGCAAATGCAAGAATTAGAGCTCCGACGAAGAATACCAAAGAAGAAAACACGGCTGAGCTTGACCATCCAATACCTGTTTGTATTAAAGCCACATTGCTATGAAAAGAAAAACAATAAATCAACTGTTGAGATAGATTATATCAATTTCGACATTTTCGGACGATACACTAACAAAGTCGAAGAAACGTAAGTACATAATGCATGATCTTTTCATTTAGTTTCTCTTGCAAATTTTTCTAATATAAAAATAAGACTTACTCAATCAGATCGTTGGTAGATGTTTGCGTCGTATCAAAATATGAGATACTCTAAACAATGAAAAGAATGCTAGTATTAATGGTTGTCAATCATATTTCTTCTATGTCGATACAACATATAAATCCTTAGTTTCATAATAGTGAAACTTATTTCTAAACGAAATAGATAGTGAACGGTTGAAGCCGTACAAACATAACAGATTGTATGAAATTTAGATTTTCAGGAAACAGAAACTATGCACACAAGGATCGTAGTGGTCATTGACGCAGGGCTTCTCAGACAGCAAGATACTGGGTGAAAGTAGCACGACATCTTGACCCAAACAAATAAGCACACCACAGTCACTACGGCTAATACGGACTTCACGGTTTATATGGCTTTTTGGACCAATTGAATTTATAAAATAAAGTCTAAGTTTCCCGGAAATTTAAATATCACGTCAACTCCAACGTAGAGGCACCCTTCTATTACTAGTTGCTGTTAAACTTTTCCCTTGTAATCCAATCAATAGAAAATGTCAAGCTACAATAAATCAACCGGACTTCTAGGAAACAGAAAATGTTTAGAGACATGCGTTTCTTGCAAATCCGAAATATTTGACATAATCATTGATTTATTTTTATTGACACAACTTATTGAACAGAATTGTAGTCACATGTGATAAATTAAATTCACAATAAGACGCACTAATATCAAAGGCTTTTAAAATGTCACAGACGAAAAAAAAACAACTTGAGCAAAATTAGTTCCTCTAGATGTGAACAAGTGTTTTGATTTCAGTAAGAAAATGTATTTTCAATTTCTCGCTTAAGAGTCTTCTGCTGCACAATCATTCATAATAAGCACTCAAACTCATTTGAAAATATTTCTTCTTTGATCTTCTTCTTTTCACTGTTGATGATGACGCACATGACAACTATACTCATCATCCGAACGTAGACATTTATTTGTGCAGTGCGAAATTTCCTGAATAAAAGTCAGAATAAAATCTCTTCTTAGTCAAAAAGCAGCCGAAACTATTCAATAGATTTATGTTCATGAGAAAATCTCCTCAATGAATTGATCGGTAGAGAAAATACTGCTGATATTACCTGAATTATAAACAGGCTTACCTCTCAATATACTGAAAAATACTTTCTACTAGTCTAGTTTTATTCCCTTTCCAACCACTGCTTCATCCAAAGATTGATCTAATTCTACTAGAAAAAAAATTTGCCAGTTCTAAATGTTCTTAACATCAATATCTGTTTAGCTAAAAATGCTGGCGAATAGTATTTATCTTCAATATCAATCAGATTAGTATATGTTTTTAGTTTATTTTTATTCCTCGGTCGAATTCCATTTTAATAAACTCATATATTAGGATGTCAGATCAGCTTCTAAAAAATATCGTGTTACTAAATGTTACTGACTAACTAGAGCGCTTAGTTTTTATTTCAAATTTCATTTACTCCATTTTGTCTCAATCTTAAAACTACCTGATACGTATGTACTGATCAAGACTTTTAAATGGCCAAGGCTAGCTAGATTAGAAATTCTACCATATGCTCTTGGTGACTACGGGTGCATTCAGAAACAAAAAGTTTCCATACAATCCCAATGAAATTAAACTGTAAAACATGATAGAGTCATCTTAATCGCAAACAGAAACTCTCGATGTGTCCATCATATCTTTTGAAGGGACCAAAAATGAGCCTTTTATGAGTTCCTCTCAAGTGGAAGAGACCGCAACAAAACAATTGAAATGTCTGTCGTGTTCTGTGACGGAATCAAAAGAACATCGACATGTATGTCAAGATCTATAAATGGGGAATGAGCTGGATCTAACTTTCTCGCTATGTACTTCGAGACTCATCCCGCTAATATTTAACAACAGACCATAAATGTTCACGGAAAACGGTTCTTGTAGCTCAGAAGTTTAAATTTTCTGACAAAACACGTCAGGCTTCACTCTATGATATGTCTGTATATCACAGACAGATTGAATTTCGCAAACTTCTTGCGGTTTTGATGGATCCACTATATAGTAAAACTTCAAAAGTGTTGTATTATTGGATAAAAGCGTACATCAACATTTCTGTTGTTCGACTTTTGCTAGATACTAAAAAAATACGTAAACCAACATGTTTCTAGTCGGCAAAATATGGAGATGGGCTCCTTGATACATCTTGTAGACTGCACTGGCTATTACTAATGGAAGCTCTTCCACTGGGAACGATATTTTCAGGGAAGCAGTTGAGAAAAAAAACAAAAATATCCTTAACTTAAGATAAAAGAAGACTCACGACGAAATGTCCCACTTGTTAGAAAATTCTATTAACCACAAAATCTATTTACGAGAAAAAATCAGGCTGAAAATCCATCATTCGCTTTTTCACAAAAAATATCTTATTGCGATTCGAAAGTCCCTTCGTCAAGTCAGAAGTTAGTCTCAATCTCATGAGAACCGATAAAATTAATGATTTTTGTAGATGTTAGTTATGAGTAGACCGGACTATCAACAAGCTTTCATCCAATCGAAGTTTTGTATTCGGGAGAAACAAAATTCGAAGTAAGACAGAAGTAGGATACTTCGGGGAATAAGTTGGACTTTCCGAAAATTTTGTCTCATTGATTTTTTAATACCCGTGAACGGTAACACATCTTTAAGAGGCTTCAGAAATAGTAGTAATTAATAAACGTCGTAGCTTCATATTGAGAGATCAAAAAACTTCAACGTCGATCTTTGAAATTATTGAGTCACTATCAAACAAAAAAACAGGACTGGTTTCATTGCATCAAACTTAAAAAAGAGACGAATCTTCCCCAATTCAGACAAAATATCAACTAAGAAAAAAAGAATAATCAATTTTTCTTATATAGTATATGAGCGTTCATCTTACTCGACACAGTTCTATTACACATTCCGTGAATATTCGAAGCATCCTGTTTTCAATAAAACTGGAATTCGTTGTCACAAAAAAATCTCTCTTCTAGGTCAATATGCATCGGTTCACTTTAACTGCGAGAACGGCGATTTGTCACTCTCTAAATACCATCTACAGAATCATGGAGCTCTCAAAATACAATTAAGAATTAGATGAAGATGTTGGCTACCTCCAAAGATGAACATTTGTTCTGATAGTAGGCTCTCTAGTTTATACAACTATGTGATAAAAGATCATAACTCCAACGAGCGACTGAATAGGAATAGGATCTATACAGATTCTACTAATTTCATTGAGTTTTTATCAAACATGAAATGTCAAATCGATTGGCAACCGATATTTAGAATAGGTTGTCGACAATTTATAAACTATGTTGTATAGTTTGCATAAATTTTCTGTCGATAAAACACAGAAAAACGACATACCTGGCTAAGTGTGGCCTTGAAAATGCCTACTCTCATGCGATTTGTCAATCTGTTAGATGCCAACTCGAAGAAAACATATTGAAAGTAGGAAACCAAGCATTCCACTGTGCCAATTACTTTATTCGATAAGAAAAC